TTCCTGGTTTCATTGAACCCAAGCTATTGGGTTTGAGAGAACCTAGCAACTGACTTCCATCGAATCTAAGCTGGGTTCAACAGAACTTAAATCTATTGGGTTTGAGGGAACCCAACAGCTACTGGGTTCCACCAAACCTAACTACTAGGTTCACAGAAAGAGGAAGAAAGAGGGGAAGAAGATGGATCGAGAGAGGGAGATGGGGGTATTAAGGCAACTTTATTGTTTTTTAATTTTTTATTAAAAATATAAATACTAATTTAATTTGGTATCTGATTTGATATTTTTATTTGTACACGTAATTAAATTATAAGATATATTATTGTCATGTCATAAAAAATTAAAAGAAAATGCCGCTGTGAAATTATTTAACTGCCATGTCATACATAACTGATACGGGACTAAAATTACGTAGTTTTTAGAGTTGAAAGATCAAAAAACTGTAAAAAAAAGTTAAAGGACTAAAAAATGTAAAATTATAAAATTAAGAGGTTAAAATTAACATTTAACCAAAATTTAATCGAGGCTCGACATTTTAATTGTGGGCGTCTTTATTTTTACTTTTCTCTGACATTAAAGGCTACTTATTCTTCATCCATCACTGAAAACCTCCCAGTTTCATACATATGAAACATCCAAACAGGCTCCAGCAATAATGCTCGGGTAGTTTGTAATTTATTCCTTTCTTCTTCATGACATGAGTCTGTTCTTCAATTTCTCTTTCTATATGAGGGTAGATGTTGGGCAGAGAAACCAGCATCACAGCAAGTCCACTCCATTCTTTGCTATCTTGTCCGATCAATTTCACGCAGACAAAGTGCAGTAGTCCCAACACCAACCCAAAGCCCTTGCGTCCAAGCCCAACAACTGAGCATATCAATAAAATCAAGCCAACTGCATCCATTAGGTTCGATTTTCCTTTTAATAGTGATACTATTGTTCCCATAAATCTCTTAAAACCGGGGAATTCATCAGGTTCAAAAATGCTGTGATCCCCTTCCTCTTCCTGGCCACCTTCACTTGTTGCAGAGAGCTCAGTCTTGGCTAAAATTTGGGGCCATGAAGGTAAACAGTAATGCAACTTACTGGTATGAAACTCTGTATCTGGTATGAAACTCTGTTTCTATGTCTTTATTCAGCCATACAAGATGTGTTTATATACAAGATTGTCCTACTGCATACAGGAATTCTAATTAGACTAGAATAAGATCTAAGATACACATTAATTGGAAATATACAATCCTGGGTAATTACTCTAGTGCAGCAGATTCAATTTCCTACTTTATTGCAGCAGATTCATTTTCCTTAATAAACAGAGCTTAATGAGACCAGACACAGTCAAATATGCCTTTTCAGCTTGAATCTGCTCAAGCGTGCATGCTGATCCTTGTGCAAGAATTAGATCAGGCAGCCAAGGCTTTGCTGCTGTAATAAGGCTTGATGTGAAATTGGAACCCGAATACAATTCACTTGAGGTGATTAGATCAAGCAAGTCATCGACAAGTTTAAAAGCTTCATTAACAGGTTTTGAAGCTTCACTGGCAGCTTTAAGAGCTAGATTGAGCAACTTGGCTGCATAGCTGAAGGAGCTCCTCAGACACATAACGATATCCTTAGAATTCTCCTCCTTGAGCTGTGATTCATCAATTGATGGTAGCCTTAAGGCAGAGATGATGTTTTGCATGTGTGCTGATGTAAACTTTAACCTTGCATGGATGAGAGGAACAAAATCCATTGCAATAGAGTCAATGATGAACTTGGGAAGTGTAGTAAGCATCATCACCATCCTCGATGTCTGCTGTTGTTTAGCATAGACAGATCCTACATTAAGGATAAAAAAGCAGTCAGTTATAAAAATGAGTGATGAATTTTTTTTTTTTTTGGGGTACAAAAAATGAGTGATGTTTTGGGAAAGAACTACATTAGACTGTAAACATGAAGTCATGACACTAAACATGGAGAGTTATTTATCTACTAAATGATTCACTCAGATTCAGGTTTACTTCAGAGTTGCATTCTCTTAAATTAACTTCAATGTTTGCATATGCATGATGCATCATTTTGCTGATCTGAGATCACATGCCACCTCCGTGATCACTTACTATTTTCCTTTTGATATTCTCTATTCCTCGATCCACATTGATGGACCCTAGAGCTGTTTTCCTGCTTGGTATCTTAAGATGATTTGCCAGGCATCCCAGAGTCACCTGCTCCAAAGAGCTTGTCCTTACAATAAAGCAGATGATCGATTATCTGGACCAGTGCAGTCTGCCAAGAGTGGAAAGAATTTCGGAGCTCATCAGGAAGAATGTTGCTTAAAACTGGAGTAGAAGCAGAAATTCAACCAAAACAATATACCTTCACTTTCCAAGCAGTGTCCAAATAAACTTCAATAGCCTATTGCATGGAGTGCCAAAGGCAAGACTCAGAGCTACATTTGACTCTGCATCAATTACCTCGTATAAAGAGCAAGGAATTCAAACAAAAATGGTAAATGCAACTTACCTCTGAAGTTGATCTCAAGATTCAGCCGTATGCAGAGCAAGACTTGTGTATGCCAGGATCGGATATGGGTCCATATATTCATAGTTGATGCACTGCACAATGCTGACCTCTGACAAGAACTTCAAAGCAATGATTACATGATCCAGAGCCTGGAAGCCCAAAAATGCTTTCCTAGTTTCCTCCAAAGCAAGCAAGTCTTTTATCTGCCAGCATATTCCTACTGCAACTGAGTAATCATCCTCAAAATTGGATAAATTTTTCCCACTCGCGTGTTTCCATTTAGCATGTTTGACCTTGCATTTCTTTCTTTTTAAAGAAAAAGGACCCCTTTTTTGACACTTCAGTGCCAAACTTAATATGGCACCGGGAAGCTGTTTTTTGTAAATGCCTTGTTAGAGCTTCAAGCATGTCATCAAAGGCGATTGGAGAGTAGAGGAAAATGGAGTGGAATAGGGATTTGAGAACGGGCTTTGAGGATTTGAGGTTTAGGTTTGTGGCCGAGGAGAGGAAGTCGTCAGGTGAGGACCAGAAAGAGGAACTGAACCGCTTCTATATTCTGCAATTGGCATAACCGAAAATATTTTCCCGGCCACCGGAAGGGATATCTGAGTTTAGAGAAGGAACCGTTGATTTTCAATTATAGGTGACGACGGCGGAGAAAAACTAGGACGACAGGGTGTAGTGGAGTTCTCAAAGGAAACAGAAAGAGAAAAGAGGTTAAGATGGCAAATTGTTTGACTATGATTGGTCTGTCATTTTAATAAAGAACTGAACGCCGTAGCTTTATATGTGACGATTGTCAAAGGGTTGCGATGGCGCCTTTGGCCACGGGTTAACTTGATTTCCTTAGAAAAATAAACTGAAATGCTATAATTATAAATTATAATATTATGTAATATTATAAATTTATAATATAATATATTACTATATTTTTTATTTAATAATTTATCAATAATATTATATGTATTATTTATTTTATATTATTACAATTATAAATCCATAATTTTATGTGATATTATAATTATAATATTTTTAAATAAAATATTTGCATGAGAATAAATAACCTTGATTATGACCACTCAACTAAGTTTTAATTCTAATTAAGCCCCTCCATTAAACCAAAAAAACCCTTTAAGATTAATTTAATACTAAATAAGATCCTCTACTGCACAGTATTGCACTTAAGGTAACTTATTATTATTATTATTATTATTATTATTATTATTATTTTGAGTTGCACATGAGACAATCCTCTTTAATCACTTTACTAATCTCACTTGTATGTTGTAACCACATATAATAATTTTCGTTCTTAAAATGTGACATTGAATTATCAAAAATTAAGAGAAAGGGTCATATAACCACACATAATATTTTTTATTCTATTAATATCCTACTGAATTAGCTCACTTTTCTAATGTGGATACTAATATAGTGGTTTTGGTATTTTTGACTTATCTTTCTTCCCCTTCAAACTACTATTCAAGTAAATCATTGCTCCTTTTACTTCGTTACTATTGTAGAGTTAGTTGAAAATTTTATAGGTTAAAATCCAGGTTAAATACTCAATTTAATCCCTCAACTTTTATTTTTAAATCAAGTCTACCCCTGAACTTCAAAAAGTACCAATACTATTCCTAAACTTTAATTTTT